TATCTTATATTATTAGATATATTATTATAAAACATGATTTAGTTAAGGAGTTATTGATACTTTAAGTGCAAAATAATAATATAAAACATGATAAAAATGCACTTTTAAGTACTAATCAGTAGACGTACACTATAAAATACTGATCTAGTATTTAAATACACTCTTTTCATCAAAATCTCAAAATTTTCTAAAAAAATTATCATTTCAAAAATAAAAAAATATTTTATTTAGTGTGTATTAAGGTCTCTTATTTTATGCATTTCAAAAATAAAAAAATATTTTATTTATGTATATATGGTTTATAAAATATTCAAAAATAAAAAAAATTTCTAAAATTTTTTTCTATATATATATATGTATGTATGTATATATATGTCTATGGGGTATGATTTAATATTTTATATATATATACACAAAAAATAAAAACATATCTTTGGAAATATTTTTGGATGATATAGTTTATTAAATCCATGAAAACTAAATCAATATTTTAAAAAATATTTTTGGATGATATAGTTTATTAAATTCATGAAAATTAAATCAATATTTTAAAAATTTTAATTCATAAAAATTAATTGTTAATATTCTAATATAAATGTTAGACATACAAGTAAACTAAAATTTAAATATCAAAAGTTAATTTGAAAATTTTTAAAATAATTTTAGTTATTTATAAATTTTAATTAAAAATATTTTTTATAATAATATACAAATTGTGAAAAGCTCCTTTACATTAAAGATAAATAAACCTTGTTAGAATACTTATATAAATTCTTTTTATAATAATTTATTTAGATATATAAGCCCATAATAATTGAAAAAATAAAATTTATTTATAAAAATAAATTTTTATTATAAATCATAGATATATTATGAGTTAAGAATTCATGAGTAGTTATAAACCATATCTACATTATTTAAGATAAATATCCTAAAAATACTAATATTTTTTTCAATTATAATTAATTTTTTATCCTAAAATTTCATATAAAAGCAGCTACTTCTAGTGAACCGGATCCGGATCAAATAATTCGGTGACAACTTCTTGATATTGATGCCGCAACAACATACGTACACGTGTGACAACTAGTGGTTTCTTCAAACTGATTAGCGACTGAAAATTTTGAGTTCTAGACTGACTGTGGGTTGATCCTGGGAAGAAAGAAGAATGGTTTTTGGCTTGATTGGTTTTGATACTTGATGCAAGCTCAGTGCGTGAAAGGCAAGAGAGCTGGGGCTATTGGATTGGGGACTACGACTGCAACTTTAGCTGGGTTTTAGTCTAGATCTGCCACCACGGGGTTGAACTATGAGAAGAGGCTGGTCCGTGGATGTTAAGGGCGGAGTGTTTATGACGGAGGCTTAACTAGGCAGATGGTGTTGAATCTGGTTATGAGGGCAGGAGACAATGGCTATTGGCTTGTTCTTGGGTGATGGAGTAGTGAAGCGTTCTGTGGTAAAGGAATTAAGGGTTTGCAGTGTGGGTTAAAGGTTGGCTTATTGGAAGAGGAGGTGTTGTGTGAAGCTTTGGTATTTTGGATTTTTGGTTGAAATGGTTGATGGGAACAAAGAAGACTAAGGTTGGGTTTAGCTTTGAAGAAGATGGAGATGAAGGATATGGTCTTGTGATGAGGGTCGTTGCTGTCACAATGTAAAACGCAAAGGGAGAGAGGGGGAGGAAGAGAAAGTTATGTTATGGTTGGCTTTGATTGGGATGCTGTCAGTGGTGGCCGGTGGCTGAGTTAGGCGGCAATGGTGACTTCACGGTGAGAAGATGGGTGTATGGTGATTTTGGTGGCACTGTTATGGTAGAGGAATGGACGCAAGACTATGGTGCTAGCTAGCAGGCATGGGGAGCTGTGGGGAGTGTAGATCTTGTTGGAAGGAAGGGCTGCTATTTGGTTTTTTATTTGGGTATATCAAAGGATGAATGGTTCTTACGAAGAACAAACAACAGTGGCCAGGATTTCTTTTTGCTATCTTCTTGCGTCTTTTATCTCTATCCCATTCATTCTAACGAAGAACAAACAACACTGGCCAGGATTATTCGGGTATTTTATAATACAAGAGTTCAGAATACTTACGAGTTCATAGTCCGGCAAAGAAAACAAACTTACCCTTTCCTTTTAGATTTGAAAGGGATTAGTTGAACTTGGGAATTTGTTTTAACTGAATTATCAAAACATGCTCTGAAATCCCAAATTTTCCATATGTATATAAATCACAACCATAAGCAAAAACAATCATCGCCCTTTTAATTTCCAATTTTAACCCCTTTTAATTTAAAAAAAATCAAATCAAAAACAAATATTAAGAGCATTATTAGCTTAACAAAATTGAATGTTATATCTTTTCAAGACAGGATGGATATAATTTTAAAACAATGAAAGCAATTATTGAGATTGATATCTAAATATTATTTATGGCAATGAAATAGGATATCTTACCAATATCAACCATCTTAAAGTTCATGTTAAGATAATTTTTGGTTTCATACATCAAACTAAAATCATTGTTATTTAGTAAAATATCATTCAAAAAGATAAACTTGGTTTCATTAAACTTTAGATAGGTTAACAATATTTTATTTAAATCTAAAAAAATAATGATATCATTAAACTTAATATATCATTGCTTAGAAACTTATTCAAGTTCATAAATATATTTATTTGATTTGCAAGTTATATGTGTTGATATGTATCTATTGTTGTATATGTAGAGAGATTGAGTGAGAGATGAGAGAAAATGAAAAAAATCTTGTTAATCTCTTTATTTTCTGTTATTCAATTCTTCATCTTGCTTTATATATATATAACAAAGGTAACTAATCTCTTTATTTTCTGTTATTCAATTCTTCATCTTGCTTTATATATATATATATATATATGCAGTTGTAACATCTTAATTGTATGTAACTAACTTTGCTAATTAACTAACTAACATACTTAGTAATCAAGTTTACACTCATCATCATCTTATGCATTGTACTCTAACATTCCCCCTCAAGATTAGACATGTGAAGAACTAAGTCTGAGATTGCAGCAATGAGTGTGAAAGAGAGGAGCACTTAACCCTTTTATGAGACTATCAGCAAGCTATTCTTGTGAGAAAACAAATTGAATTGACAATTGCTTCTAGGAAACTTGTTCACAAATAAAATGCACATCTACCTCAATGTGTTTGGTCCATTGATGTTGAACAAGATTAAAGGATAAAGTAATGGCAGAGAGATTATCATAGGAAAGAACAAGAATATGAGGTAATGAAATATGCAAAAAAGCTAATAACTACTTGAGTCAATCCACTTCAATTGTAGTAAAGGATAAGGCTCAATGTTCAGCCTCTGTTGATGATTTGGACACAATTTGTTGCTTCGTGGAGGACCATGATATAGGATTGTTGCCCAAAAAAATTACCAAGCTAGTAGTGGAGCGTCTATCATTAAGGTCCCCTGCCTAGTCAGCATCACTAAACACTTTTAATTGTAAATCTCCTTTAGTGTAAGAAATACCAACATGTAGTGTGCCTTTAAGGTAGTGTAAAATTCATTTCACAGCAGTGAAATGATACACCATCGATTTCTGCATAAATTGGAAAACTTGATGCATAGAAAACACAATGTCAGGTCGTGTGAAGGTTAAGTATTGTAGAGCCCCTATAATGCTGTGATATACTGTAGGATTAGGATACGGTGTCCCATCTTCTTTAAGTAGGCGATGATAAGGAAGACATGGAGTATCACATAGTTTAGCATCAACCATCTCAGATTTAAGTAGCAAATCCTCAAAATATTTAGATTGTGATAGGAACAAGCCAGTAGAGGTGTGAGTGATCTGTATCCCCAAGAAGAAATGAAGGGAGCCTAAATCTATGATATCAAATTCAGTAGACGCACTTCCTATGAGGATAATATCACCCATATAGAGTAGTAGGATCAGAATCTGAGAACCCACATACTTGACAAACAAGGATGAATCAGGTTAAGTGGTGGCAAACCTTGAGAAAGGCAGAAATTGAGTAAATCATTCATTACAGGCCCTAGGTGCCTGTTTTAAGCCATAGAGGGATTTATGCAGTTTGCACACATGATGAGGATGTAATGAATCTTCAAAGCCAGGGGGTTGGGTGACATAACTAAAAAATTGATGTCTTCTCCTAAGTGCATGAGTATTGAAGTGATAAATGACCTGGCAAGACCGAGGTAGAATCACAAGAAGATTAAGTGTATTGATTAGTACTTAAAAGTGCATTTTTATCATGGTTTTATATCATCATTTTGCACTT